TTCAAGTGCAAAATGATGATATAAAACCATGATAAAAATGCACTTTTAAGTACTAATCACTTCTACCCAAAAATTAGGAGGAATAAAAGTTTCAATGAGAAAGGTTTAGACCACATCCAAAAGATGGTGATTCTTGCGTTTTGCTACTCCATTTTGTTGAGGAGTATAAGAACATGATCATTGAGAAATGATACTGTTAGATTGCAAGAAAGACTGGAAATCATTAGACATATACTCCCCTCCCGAATTTGATCTAAGAGTTTTAACAGTGGCAGAAAATTGAGTGTTAACCAGTACTAGGAATGGTTTGAACATAGAGAAAACTTCTGATTTGTTCTGCAAAAATAAACCCATGTATAATGGTTGTAGTCATCTATAAAGGTTACAAAATATTTGTATCTTGCATGAGAAAGGATAGGACTAATTCCTCATACATCACTATGAACTATCTCAAACAGATTTGTGGCTCTACTGCTTTCAGAGGGAAAAGGTAACACTTTACTTTTACCAAGCTTACATGTGATACAATCAAGGAACATACTGGAAAAGGAATGTAATTTATTGTTTATTAATCCAGATTTCAATAGATGGGAGAGAATTCTAGGATTTGAATGGCCAAGATGTTTATGCCAAACTTCATTAGACAGTTTAGGTGTAGTACAAAAGAGAGATAAAATATAGGAATGAACTAAGGTGCGTGGAACATGAAATTGAATGAAAAATAGACATTTGTGCTTAAGCCCCTTCGCTATCAGCTGTCCCGACTTTTGGTCCTGTATAATACAGCCATGTTTAGAAAAGTATACATCATAGTTACTATCCACGAACTGACCAATAGAAGCTAGATGTACAGCAAGCTTAGGTGAGACAAAAATATCCTTTAAAGGAGGTATATCACCAACAGCTATAATGGGAAGAGCATTGCCATTAGTTGTTTGAATATGTGAGGATCCATTATATTTGTGGAGATTACTTAAGCCACTAAAGGAGTTTTTCATGTGATTGAAAGCACCTGAATCTAAGATCTAAGATCCAAAAAAGAGTTAAAGAACTAGTACCTTGAAGACCAAGTGTGAAGAAAGCACTCATAATCATTTCTTACACCATCTCAATCATTTCTTACACCATCTCTCTGGTTAATAAATTTGCTGGAGGCTATGAGATAGGTGAGCCAACAAGAGTTTATGGAGCAGAAAGCCAGTAATGGTAACAGCAGTGTGATAAGTTTTGTTACGCGTGGAGGATGAATCGTACATTCTTTAATAATATGTCCTGGTTGTTTGTAGTAGTTGCAAAACTTATTTGGACAACGAGATGCAATATGGCCATACTTCTTACAACTATAGCATTGTGTCTTGCTCATATCATGGCCCTTCCCTCTGCTGTAAACAACATAAGCAACTGGGGCAACTCTTGTTTGCTCCATAATAGTCTGAGTATGGAGACGTTGTTCTTCAAGCAAGAGTTCTCCAAAACAAGCATCCAAGGATGGAACAGGATCACGATTGACTAGAGAGGCACGAACTGGTTTATATTCAGGTCGTAATTTCATCAGAAATTGGTCTCGTTGGTTAATCTTATGGACTTGTTCTGGTTAATAAATTTGTTGGAGGCTGTGAGATAGGTGAGCCAACAAGAGTTTGTGGAGCAGAAGGCCAGCAATAATAGTGTGATAAGCTTTGTTATGCATAAAGGATGAATAGTACATTCTTTAATAATATGTCCTGGCTGTTTGCAGTAGTTGCAAAACTTATTTGGACAACGAGGTGCAATATGGCCATACTTCTTACAACTATAACATTGTGTCTTGCTTATATCATGGCCTTTCCCTTTGCTATAAGCAACATAAGCAATTGAGGCAACTCTTGTTTGCTCCATAATAGTCGGAGTATGGAGACGTTGTTTTTCATGCAAGAGTTCTCCAAAACAAGCATCCAAGGATGGAACAGGATCACGATTGACATGAACTAGTTCATATTCAGGTCGTAATTTCATCAGAAATTGGTCTCGTTGGTTAATCTTATGGACTTGTTCTGGTTAATAAATTTGTTGGAGGCTGTGAGATAGGTGAGCCAACAATAGTTTGTGGAGCAGAAGGCTAGTAGTGGTAACAGCAGTGTGATAAGCTTTGTTGCGCATGGAGGATGAATAGTACATTCTTTAATAATATGTCCTGGCTGTTTGCAGTAATTGCAAAACTTATTTGGACAACGAGATGCAATATGGTCATACTTCTTACAACTATAGCATTGTGTCTTGCTCATATCATGGCCCTTCCCTTTGCTGTAAGCAACATAAGCAGCTAGGGCAACTCTTGTTTGCTCCATAATTGTCGAAGTATGGAGACATTGTTCTTCATGCAAGAGTTCTCCAAAACAAGCATCCAAGGATGGAACAAGATCAAGATTGACTAAAGAGGCACGAACTGGTTCATATTCAGGTCGTAATTTCATCAGAAATTGGTCTTGTTAGTTAATCTTATAGACTTGTTGCACTGTCAACACTTCTTCTACAAAAATCTTAGTTGTAACAAGATCAGAATAATTATTGCACATGGTCAAAAATTTAGAATAGTAATATAAAGATCTCCTTGGGTATAGTTGGCAATAGCCAACTCAAGCTAAAAACGCATAACATTGTTATCTTAGTTATAGACTTGTGTAAGGTGATCCCACATAGCCTTTGCTGATCTATGAAGATGCAAAGACAGGATCAGATATAGCTCCATAAAACTAAGATTTAGGATATAATTTATGCATCTTTAAGAATCAGGATATTATTTATGCATCTTTGATTGCCTGAACAACAGCAGATCCCTGAACAATCAAGTCTCCTTTGTCGCTATTATCTATATAACCCCATAACTCCTATCCTTTGAGAAAGATCTCCAACTGAATTGTCCAAAGAGCATAATTTTTGCCACTAAATCTAACAAATATTATCTAACTTTTCCATGAAACTATGACCAAAAAACACTAAGATTTAAAAATTCTATAAAAAAAACTCTAATACCATAACATAGCCTTCACTTTTCAACTAGGCTTTCATTATATAGAAAAAGTAGTTGTGCTGTATATAGTAATTACAAAGAAGAAATTTAGAAAGCTAAATATAGTAAGGTAAATTTTCTATTTAAGCATTTACAGTTGAATGCTTAACTTCAGCCTTTCTATTGACATTATAGGTAATAGCTCTGATGAAATAATAACTGGAAAGGAAAGAAATTTTCTTCTTTTTTAATTTCCTTTTGAAGCAAAAGATGGAACAAGAAACATTTACAATTTTCTGGAAATGATTAACCAACACAACAGATCCACTGTTGCATTGGCATTTTAATTGTCAGTGCTTGTACTTCCAAAATTGCTTGCACATCAATTGAGATACATAAAAATAAAAGTCCTGGAGAGACCATCTCTCGAATCAACAAATCGAGTCAATTTCTCCAGCAGAATACATAAGAAAAGGCACATCTAATGCCTGCTCTGCTATCATAACCGTGCATTTTGTTCATCTTGACGATCTCTACCATACCGCATTTGTCATCTTGAATCAGTTTTCCCTTTTCCGATTCATCAAGTCATGGTAATATAGAAGCACACACATAGGTTGACCAAGAATGCTGAAAAATAACCAGAATATCATATTGCCCACCTGTCATGAAACGAGTAATATTCTGTCATGGACTCGAAGACTAGGATAGATTACTGAACAATTAATTATTGGAGTTCGCTTTTTCTTTTACTGCATAGTAATATACTACCAACTCGGCCCATGAACGAGGCCAGAAATAGACTTTAAGATGGAACATAGCAGAATTGGAGGTCTGCTATATCAAATGTTCCAGATTTTAACCTGTTTCCCTTTCCACATGGATGATTGTTTCTTGGAACTTTGATGCTGACAAGATATGTGCGCGCACTAAAATATGTTTTTTATAATGAGATGAAAAAAATAGACATACCATAGAGCTTTTGAACTTATTTTGAAGGAATTTTGTGATCACCACTAAGGGAACCTGATCCAAACGAGAAAGAAAACCATGTATTCCATTAGGTAATCCAGCACACTTAAGATGATTACTTTTCTGTCTTCCTTTGCTTCTTTTAGGGGGGTGGGGAGCAAGCAGATAACTGATTTTAAAACGAATAAACACACTTCTGGCAGTCAGCAGTCAGAACCATCTTACCTGAAACATAATTCCAATAAATGCCCAGAGCTTGAACATGTGGCAAGGAACAGCAATACACAACTGCATAGTTAATAACAAATGCCACATAAGTACATCAGTGTAACTGAAAATATTATATGACCCAAAGGTGCACCATTTCAAGATTCTACAGCAAGCAATTACTATAAAAGCTAAGGTATTAATCTATCGCTAAATTGGAATCACTACATTCCTCAGCGAGACAAATCAGGTATGAATACATCTGCCTCAACTATGCCCAGTCAAGTTGGATCCACCACGTGAATATATTTCCCACCTTGACTACAGCTATATTTTCTATGAAATGTTAAGGTAATAGTTGAACCCACGTCAGTAGCATTAATTGCAATAGGAACCATCTTTTGTCACCAGCAAATTTAACATTTTACAGCACAACAAAGGAATATAGCCTACACTTGTTTATTTCGAAGCGACAAGTTTTTAAAATTATTTCTGATAATTTTATCCTTCCATTTCCTATAATTTTGATTCCAATAAAAGACCATCACAAAAGTGTCAACACTGCCAGATACTGATAAAATATGGAAACAAGTTTACTTTAGTACATTTAGAGTTCTATTATTATTTTTATAGAATTTTAGGACTTTGTTATTATTTTTATTAAAAGGTAATATTTTATCAGGATTTTAATGTCCTACTTGCTTTAGGACAATCGGTTTCTTTGCTTCTACTGTCATACATCAGTTATTCTGTAATTTGTTCACATGTTCACATTTCATTTTATCTCTTCCCTATTTGAACCTACCATTATTTGTACCACTGAGATAACATAAAGCAAATTCCAGACACTGTATAGTTCACATATGAAGACAGATCTTTTCATCATGTTGTCACAATCCTCATGCAATTTGTCACTCATGTCAAGTTCATCTCTTCCCTAGTTGAACCTAACATTATTTGTACCATTGAGATAACATAAAGCAAATTCCAGACACTGTATAGTTCACATATGAAGACAGATCTTTTCATATGTTGTCACAATCCTCGTGCAATTTGTCATTCATGTCAAGTTCATCTCGTTCAAAGTCGAACTTTCAATAGCTGCAGTTAACCCAGATAAGTTCAACATAAAATCACTCTAGCCATCAAGACTGAAAAGAAAAGGAGTGATGAATCGCTAAACACAATCCTTGGTTTCACATCAGGTGTCTGTATGAGTTGATGAATAGGGAAGAACAGATGCTTCAAAATGCCTCATGTATCGCAACTAGTATTCAATACTATACTTGTTCCGGTACTCCCCAATTCATGTCAGATACTTGCCAAATCTAAAATCAATGAACACTAAATATCACGGTAAATTACATTAATCACCTTTTGGTTTGAGTGTGGTAACACTTTGCACTCTAATTTCTCATATATTACATTTTACTCCTTCATCAAACAATGTTTGTGGTTCTGTTTGTGGAAATCTAAAAAGAAAAAAGCAGCCTGATACAAAAAAAAAAAAAAATTCACATGTTGCAGCAAAGCATTTCACCCAAAAATTTCCCGACACAATCTCCCTCTCTGAACCATCTTGTTTCTCTCTTCAATATCAGAGAAGCAAACAAGCCTAAACCTAGCCCAAATTAAATGAGAATCTGAGTAAAATTGAAACCAAAATTATCAATCAAATGTGTAGAAGATCCTTTCGAAGATTTGACTGCGATTGAAATCAGAAAAAGAGCAGAAAAAAATTGGTGAGAGGATGCCTAGCCCTAATCAAAAAAATTTCTTTGAAAATCCGAATGACATTACAATTACTTGTGTTTAATCTCGTGTATTTTGAATTTAGGACAAACCCCATATTATTTTTTGTTGTTATAGTTTTTCAAATCCCTAAGAGAAACCTTAATTTTAATGTCACCCCTAGTTTGAATGAAAATTCTCCTCCATCTCGATGGTTTCTATTTCACAAATCAACAAAGGTTTTCAAGTTTTCTAGTGCCAAGTTTGAGCTCTAGAATTGAAATAAGGAATCCTAAGAGGTAAATTTGACAGATATGGTCATATAATATCTACTAGAAGCAGTTTCAATTCATTGTATTTAATTTCCATGTATCATTCATACTTCAGTCCTCCGTAGCTCATTCAAGCATCTTCATGACTTGCATGAAACATTGCTCCTTTGTTTTCTTGTGCAAATGTATTGGGAGTTTCTACCAATTCAATGTTTTTATGAAGACAACAGGAATGGGATTCAACCATTCTTCTTATGATGCAAAAGTTCTTACATGTAAACGGAGGACTCAAGGTATGTTCAATTGTTCATGGGTGTGCTTTAGTTCTAGGAAATTTAGTTTCAATGAAAAGATTATTTTCAGTGCCGCTAATCATCAATTCTATTAAAAATAATTGAGGTTTTTCTTTTTATGTGCTTGCTTGTGTGATAAAAGGCAGAACAGTTTTTTTGAATAAATGCAGAGAATAGTCAAGAAGAATGTGACACAGAACAGCTAAAAATGGTATTGTGCTTCATGGATTGCTTGTTGGCTGTTGGTTGCAAAAAGGGGAGGAATTGAAGAGAGCAGATTACAAAGAGTTAAGCAAGTTTACTGATTTACAAGCAATGTGAAATAGTAAAAAAAAGCTTCCAAATAGCTATAGTTTGCTTCTATCAACCCACAAAGCTTCCAATTTTTCTTTTTTTAAAATGGATAATAATTGATGAATCTTGTAAAATATAATGACAAATGCGATATGCTATCTTAACTGTCATTATTGTTATTATTCAAACAAATCCATTTTTATCATATTTTAAATATATTTTTATTTAATTTGAATGATTATTTAGAATAAATATGAGAAAGTACATTATAAAATTATTTTTTAATGAAAGTATCCATAACCTATCATATCCTAAAATTCCAGAAATTTGAAGTAACAAAGTATTAGTATCATATCGTATATACATATCACAGTTGATGCTTCCTAGAAATGATACTCTTCTATAATCAAAAAAATAAATATACGAGAATTCAATTCTCCATGCAACCACACGACCAACTATGAGATAAATTAGTTAAAAGGAAAAGTCATCAAATAACAAAAATAAAATGTCGAACCAATAATACCTCATGAAATACAGCTGAGACAAAGAAGGCAATAAGTAAGGCTGCCCACTGCAATGATAATGGAAAAAAAAAAAAAGGAATAATTGTGAGTAGCAGCCAATAGAGCATCACAAATAGAGATTTTGGCTAACAGTATATAGAATCACATGGAAACACTTAGTTAATAACAGGCAGCCATTCAATAATGTGCCACAAGAGTGGCCTACACTGTTATTCAAATATAAACATGCAAAAATTACTCACAATAATGTGCCACGATGTTAAAGCCATTAAAAAGAAAAGCAAGCTTGCATCATGTAATGTTAATATCATTAAAAAGAAAAATAAACTGTTGCAGACTACAATGGCTCGTAAGTTACAAAAGTATCAAAAGAAAATAAACTGCACAGATGTATCCACATCATTGATGGATATCATCAAAGTTACAAAACTACAAATAAAATCCAGATATTCAGGTATCATGGTTGGAACACCGGACCCAAGACATTGTTTATGTACTCGTATGATCATAGATGATAAAGGGTAGCTCAAATCATTGAAAGATTGAGCTTTAGCTTATGTTTTGTTTTAATTCATTTGAACTTTTAATTGAGATATATTAATTAGGCTTTATTCATTGGGTTTGATTTATTACTGATGAGTATTTTATTTATTGAGCTATAAACTCAATTGTTTATTCTAGTTAGGGTTTTAGTATTTACATCCTAATTTTCTATACATTAGACAGTTGTCGACGAATTGAATAAAAATTGCAAAGTAAAGTTTTTTTCAACCCCCATTCTTTCTCTTCTTCAGCATTTTCTTCTATTTCTTTGGCTTCTTCTTCTTAGCTCCCTTTTTTTTTCTCTCTCTCTCTCTCTTCTTAGCTTACTAATTCATCTTCAAATCTCTTTTGTGCATCACATCAAATCCTAGATACATTTACATAAGATGGACCTTCTCTAGAAGAATCAAGGTAACTTATAGGTCCTTGAATTGAAACTTAGACATCACCTTGAAGCGCTTAGTTATGTAGTGGAGATGGAAAAACTTTCATTTGAACTCTGAAGAGATGTTTAAAACGAAGGGGAAAAAAAAAAACTGGGTCGATATGGAGCCACAACACAAAAGTCTTGAATTCTTGAATTGCAAAGTTCAGGTTGGAGCTCACGCACAAAGTTATGCTCTTGGAGCAGTACAGAACAGAATTAAAGAAACCTGAAAGCACTAGACCTGAAGTATAAGAATATAGACCTGAAGCACTAAAGAACCAACTTAAAGCACAATGGCAAAGGTAGGAATAGCAATTTTCCCTATCCATCGAGCACCTGACTAATCCATAACTGATTATCACACCCATAGCATATGGGAATGGTATGGGGTTCAAACCATCAAGGTATGAAACAGGTATGAGAACCTGGGTGCCGATACCCAAACCCGTTGATATAACCATGTTTGGATGTCCAGTTTTTAAATGATATTTTTGTAAGTTGAAGTACTACTTTACATTTAAGTGTGAGAGAAATTTTTTAGATAAAATAAAGAATAAGGAAAATGTGATAAACATTAGGATAACCCCCTTCATATTCTGTGCATCATCTTTCTTCCAAAAGCTATGGTCAACTATCATCATAATTAGAGGTTTAAAGTTTCTATATTTGTTATTCTGACCTATTTTTTTTCTTTTGGAATTAGCAGAGAGAATAAAAAGAATGTTGGAAAGAAGGTTCAATAAAGGAAGAATTGCAAGATAAACCAAATTGTAACATGTCTTGCAATCCATGGGTCACTTTATAAAATCATCAAACATGAAATGGAAAATTTATTATGACATATGCAGAGAAACAAATACAGTAAAAAAAAAGAAATTTTCATTTACTTTCTAACAAATAAAGTATTGGTTACAGTCCACGGAGAGAAAGGGAAGTTACCTTTGGTATTTTATTCCGTAAACATGGAAAATAGATATGGCGAACCATCCACTTATGAACTGGCTGTAAAAAATGAGGATTCAATTAGAGATATGCTTGGCCAGCCAGACTGTGTGTGTTGGCTTCTGTAAGCAGCACATCTTCTTTTCATTATAATAACTACAGTGAAACAATAAGAATTGATTACCATGGTCTTGCTGACAACTGCAGCAACAAAAAAAATATTTCCTCCAACACAGATTAAAGATTAAATAGAATTGAGGACTTTCAATCTAATATCTTTATGATGACACAACTTTCATTCATATATGACAATTTGCAACTAATAGACATCCCTTGTTCATTCATAGCGTTAACTCACAACCAAATTCAAAAGGCACATGGTAACCATGGCCCAGAATCAAATAAATAGATATAGCATCTTTTCCCCCTTCATGATCTAATAGCCAACTACAAAAAAATAATTCATATAGACATTTTCCAATTCCATAGCTCCTTTACATTTTACATTTTCTCTTTTAAAATGGAAATAACATTTTTCCTCTCAAGGCTCTTGAATTAATTAAAAAGTTACGGTAACTTCTAAGGTAGTATGTGTAAGAGTTCTACACCATTCATGTTATAAATCTAAAACAAGAATAAATTTTGGTACACATAACTGCAAAAACACAAAACATTTTGTGCTTGACCATATAGATCCATAACATAGATTCAGCCAGTATGTTTGCCCAAAAGCTTATTATGAAAAATGGATAACAAAGAAAAGAAAGTCATTTTCAGTGCACAATAATAAGCACTGGAAAATATTTTTATCCTCATTTTCCATGGTCATAAAATTTCATTTTCCTGGAATTAATTTTCCATGGAATTATTCATTTTACAAAAGAAATTCATTACCATTTAACACATCTCCATAATCTGATATAAATTAAAAGAGTTTGAAGTATAGAAACGTACCATATTCCACATTCTCCAGTACTGATCAAAGCCACAATTCCAGAAACACATTTGAAATGTAAAGAAAATAAGCAAAGGATTGTTGATAGATACAACATGAAGAAAAAACTTCCAGAAAAGGAGTTCTTACCTCTTCAACAGTTCTTGCATTCCACCAATCCTTGTAGAACTCCCGATCACCAAAGCGAAGGAGCTCGGCAAGTATATTTAACCTACAAATGCAAAACAGTATTTAACTAAAACCAAAGAGATGAACCTGGTCCTAAAGTTCACCCTTTATGAGATGGAAGAAATCTAGCATAAATTTCCAGAAATGTGCCAAACTTCAGAAATCATGCTAGGAAATAAAAATTATGCATTAAACAAACTAATAAGAAACTTTCAAAATATTGCTCTTATTACAAAGGAATCTGCAAACAGTTAAAAATTTAAGTTGTCACTTGTTAGGAGAAAAATTTATAATAGAAATATTTTGAAGGGAACGTAGTTCAGGGTTGCTGAAGTAAATTTCTCCAATAAAGCTACAACTAGAATCCAGAGAACCAAAAGAAGCCACAAATTGCACTGAAACCATCAAGGTGAGCTCACTACAGCTATAACAACAAGCTTTGTGGTACTAATAAAATGATTAGATAACATTTTTGGCAATTAATATAATTTTCACAACAAAGGGGAAAATATCCATGAATATAGAAAAGAAAAGAAAAAAGTTCACTCACCACAAGTGGAAAAAGCAGTAGAACATGCAGAGCCAAACATATAAATTAGGAACCGAGAGCTTCAAGACCCTCTCAATGGCATACAAGAGATTTCCTTTCAAAGGGTGCTGCGAGTTCTGAACAATAGGATTGATATACTGCAGAATTACACCCACCAAAATTGTCTTGAATGCATGCCTTTATTTCATAAAAGACAAGAGCATATAGAACTAGTTTAAATGTGAAGTTCTACTTACTTGTTCTATGATAAATCCCATGAATCCAGTAAATATTATTAACTTGACAAATTGTCGAACCACCCAACCCTTTCGAACAGATGCAGAACGAGGATAGCTTGACTGCAATGAAAACGCATGGAGGGCGAAAATAAGAGAACCCAAAAACAAGGACAAGATATAGCAACCACACGCTAGAGAAAGAAGTCCTATTTATATGCTACAGCCACACAAACACAATGCAAAATCTATATATAAGTTTGGGCCATGAAACAGAGCATTACCAGAAGAAAGGCCCATACATTAACACTAGTCTTAAAGAAATTAATGACCACATAAAAAGCTAGATTCTATTTTAAATGTTAGTAATTTTGGTCGATTATAACAGAGCAAATTTCAAGGATCTTTACCCACTATCTTTTATCCAGAGATGGAATAGAATTGTTCTTTATGTAAAGCTGATCTTTCTAGAAGTTTCCTTAGCTGATATTCCAAGGGACTGGTGAGCCATCATCACTACCTCTTGGCTTTCTTTCTAGGACATTCTCTAACTTGCTTTATCATACATTCATACTCTCTGACAATCCTCTCTATAAAATGTAACTTGCCATGAGAACATAATAACTTAATAGTAGAATAGAAGTTTAAGTACACTTAATCATGCCTCCTCATCATTTGTATCTGCAAATATGTTCCCAACGTAACAGCACAAGA